GCAAATGTCCTACTCTAAGTATATCAAAACTTCATTTTTGATTAGTAATATGCATTGCTAAGGACTTCATTTGGACAACTTTAAAGGCGATTTTCTCTATATTTTGATTTTTTTGCACCCTCAGATTCCCTGTTTTCAAATAGTTGTATCTCGGCCAAATATTGTCCTATCATAACAAACCATACATCAATGGAAAGCTTATTTATTCAGTGTGTATAAATCTCAATTTTGAAAAATTGACACTTACGACTGGTTTTGTGGTCCAGGGTCACAAATAGCTTTAAACATTCAAATCTACATTATTGATCTTTTTAAAGTGTAGTTTACATGGCCTGATTGTGAAGGCTTTAAATAATAAACAAGCTGTTCTTCTGAGGAATGCCTTTGTCAGCTGTGAGGAGATCCATATTGCTCTGGAATGTGTGGAGCTGCCAAAGAGATTTTAAACTCAGTTGTCAAATATATATATATTTTTTTGTGTGACAACTTTTTGCCTAAGTACTAAATTCAGTTTTAAATGAACACCTAAAGTAAGAAAAGTACTTCTTACAAGTACAGCTACTTTGTAAAGACTTACAAGTGGTCTATAAAAAGCTGTTTTTCCATTTAGGTGACAAATATTGTGAATTACCCCTTAAAAAAATAACAATACTTGTTCAGGGATACAAACTCATAAGGATTGAAAAAGGTAAGACAATTACATATCCAAGTCAATGCTTCAGTAGGAATTTTTTGTTAAAGATTAAGCTTCAACTCCTAATTTTGGTCAATTTGTAAATGGTTACATGATTAAAAGTTGCACTTGGTAAGTTTTACTGGCTCTTATTTGTTTTTACATATGACCAAAAAAAAAATAAAAATAAATAAAAAAAACAGAGAAATGTCATTGATGTCAAAATGAATTACAGTTCTAAAAAATACATACACATTTTTAAATCACATAACGATACAGTATGAATAACATAAAATAATAATATTTATATATTACATTACTTTATAATATTTTTATAAATAATAAATATTCTGATTTCACTCACATTTTCTAGTGTAACTAATTTAACTATGGGTAACATCCAGCTTAATGTAGCTATATATCATATAGTATTATGTAGATAGCATTAAAAAAAATCGATGAAAAAATTGCCTCACATTTTTATTTCAATGGTACATCAAAACTTGCACCGCTCCTGCATAGACGCATAATCCCTGCACATGCGCTGCTGTAGTCAAACGAATGTGCGCTGAGCGACCTGTTTCAACGGTTGTGGCTAGAAGGGATACAGCTACAGTCGGAAAATAACAGAAACACATTAAACATAATAAGTTTGTAAGAGCTGTCTGAATTTGTAGGACAATTATCTCTTTATGATGGCGATTAACTAATTAAATACACTGGTTTTGTTTTATGTCAGTTTATATTTTGTTTTGGTGAAAAACTGATAACGAAATTTCAATAAATACTACCCAGCTAACACACGACATACCAGTTATGTAACTTGTTGGTACTTTTTGGTCATTTCATGACTTACTAATTGACAACGTAAATAACGTTAGATGCTTTTAATTTCATTAGGCCTACCATCAAAT